ACTTTCAAAGCATGCCAAACACAAGCTCAGCCTAAGGCATGGTTTGTTTTGTTTTTTTCTAAGTTGTATTGTGGATTTTGAACATAGGAAGGATGAGGGTGCAGGATACTCCAAAACACATGCAGGCAATAGAGGATAGATTCTTAGGCAAAGTCCTTCAGTAGCAGCCTTAAAGCTTTGTTTTTTTTGTTTTTTGCTTTTTTTTTAATTAAAATAACAGGCATGTTATACTTACCTGCTCTGTGCAATGGTTTTGCACAGAGCAGCCCTGGACCTCTTCTTCTGGGGTCCCCTGCTGGCACTCTTGGCCCCTTTGGGTGTGCTCATGGAAAGCCGCTTTCCATGGGGGGCAACCAGGTGGGCTCACTCCTGAGGCTGCCTGTCTGCATCTATTGACAGAGCGAGCAGCTCGGCCCCACCTCTTGGAACATCATTTGATTGATAGTAGTGAGAGCCATTGGTTCCCACTGCTGTCAATCTGCCCAGGGAGGTGGGAAACAGAGGTGAGAGCACATCGCTGGATCGGATTGGGCTCAGGTAAGAATAAGGGGGGGGGGGGGGGCTGGGGGAAATTGTGCAGCACAGGTGGTTATTTACCTTAATGCATAGAATGCATTAAGGTGAAAAACCTTAAGGCTTTAAAACCACTTTAAGTATTGCTGGAGGTAGAGGGGCAGCCAGGTAGTTTGAGACCCTGTAAGAAAAGTCAGTCTTTGTAGCAACCTCTGATGTCTACCCTCCAAAGCACAGGCACACCTGAAGCTCTAGGTAAAAAGGGCCTACTCAATGTCTAAAGACAGCTCCACAACCAGCTTCCCTGCAAGACTCTTCAGTGAAAGGGGTCCTTCATCTGCCCAACTTCCCAAGGTAACTTCTTCCAGTAAATGGGTTTAAGTCTAGGTTCCTTTTTAGACCCTCAGCCAAGTACATGCTGAGACCTAACAGTAACAGCTTTTCAGTAACACAGGCTGCCTCACAGGGGCAGAGGCCCCCAGGAGAGGAAATACTCTAAACAGGCCCTCCTAAACATTTATCTTCTACCCAACCACAACTTTTGGGCGCCCCCTTACAGGGATTGGCTGAGATTGGATAAATAGCCCAGTGGCAAACCCTAAAAACACTATTTCTAGAAGCTTCTTCCAGAGGCAGCCAGGAGCAATCAACCACCAGGCTTAGGGAGACCTGACCAGACCTAGAAAATGAATTGCTGCTCAGCTGAGTACAGCACAGCCAAAAACTGAATTTATCCAGCCTAGGGCAGGGACCACCTACAATATAGCTTGGCTGCTAATGTAGTCTAGACCGATCACTTAGTTATTTTCTTAAAGTGGTAGTAAAGTCACTCTGTATATTTTTACCTACTGGTAAGCTTATAAAAAAGCTTGCCGGTAGGTAAAATGAATATCTCCTAAACTTCACCATTTAGGATATATGTTATGGAGCAGCACCAGTGACAATACCGGTGCATGTGTGCTGAAGAAATGGCTTACCTGTGCCGTTCCTTCAGAGCTGTGCGTCATGGCCAAAACTCCCGTGCACATGCGTGGGAGTGACGTCATCGGTGGCTTGGCGATTCGAGCAGCCTCAGCCTTCGGACCAGGAAGGAAGACTGGGTAAAGACTGAAGTCACCTGTAGTGTTGACAATGCGCCGCAGGAGGGCAATGCTTACCATTTATTTTTTAAAAGTTCAGGGCCTACCTACTAGCAGTCATATGTATAAATCACACAGCCATGTGTATAAACGCTAACCCATAAGCATCATGAATTATCTGCCACGAAAACGTAGCACTAGTATATTTCAGATCTCAGTTGTCGGCACAGGTGAGAAGGTTCACTACAGCTGCTCCCAACACATGGTGAAATGTTTGATGAGAACCTGGCACAGGTAGTATTTGTTGTATGGTTTCTGGTACCAAACAAGAAAGCAAGAAAATAAATAAATGGCCCTACATACAATCTAAAATGTAGGCTAACCCTACCCTAACACAACTTGAGCCTGACACTTAACACTCAACTTTACTTCTTAATACCTCAATGTTACCCTTAAAGAAACTTGACCCTAACCCTAGCCTTAACCATTAAATTTGACGTAACTCTGAACTTAACACTACAAAGTCCTCTCCAGGCAAAATTGCCTGGAACTGAGCTACACACAATTCTTTAGTTTTGTGTCTGATATGCAACAGTTCTGTGTGATGTATCTGGATGCAGACACCCGCCCAGTGACTAGTAAAAGAGCTGTAGGAGCCCATGTGAATTTTGGGTATTTCATCTCCTGTACTACCTAACACAGTCAAATAAAGCATTTAAAACTAGTGTAACATTCTCCAAGCAGTTTTTTTTTTTTGTTAGCTAGAGGCTGAGAAGAAGCCTGGGGATGAGTTAGGGAAGTGAGGTCACCTCAGGACTGGCTGGGAGGATCTAACAGGCCAGGGCTTCTGGAGCTCTTTCACCTCTCCAGAAACCTGAGAGTTTTCTGGAGCAGGGGAGAGGAGGGAAGGAGGCCCTGCATCTGCATGTTTGGCACCTTGGCCTATCCCCTAGCAGGAAAACCCTCAAAGCTGGCAGAGCCTGAGGGCAGGTGTGCAGTGTCGGGTGGAAGATGGATTGAGGAAGGCGGGAGTGTGGAGCCTGGGAGGGGGCGCCAAGGAGAGGAGCCTACCTACAGGCAGGTCGCTGGTTGGAGAGGAGGATCACTACTACCTTAACATCTCCTGGGGAGGACAGCCTGTGCAGCTGTGAAGGAGCCGGCCCAGCGTAAGGCCTGAAGGCAGCCACCAACCCACTAAGCTAACAGGAGAGAACAGTGTAAGGACTCCTACACCCCCCTGGCCATATAATGGGAGAGGGTCAGGTGTAATATCCAATTAGTTTCTCATCTGGGACTGTTCATCCAGCAGCTCTTGGGCCTCCTTGCTCAAGGATACCCTCAGGCAGCTCGGTGAGGAGAAGAAGTCATCCGGGGTCTGAGGAAGTACACCTAGGAGCCTTTAGTGCTCTTTAAGAAGAGACTGTTGCTAAGCTGAGTCTTTGTAAATAGTTGCTACAGTTCTTCGTGCATCCCATATACCCCTAGATGAGGGGTAGGCAACTTTTGAGAGGTGGAGATCTACCCAAACAACATGAAAGAGATCAAAGATCACAGGATCAAGGCCTAACTAAATAGTAAGGAAAGTGTAGAAAAATATAATAAAAGAAATGTCACTGTAAAAATACAAACTTAGCCTACCTTAAAAATGGATAGTGTCAATCAGTAGGGCAGTGGATGGTGTCATTCAGCAGAGCAGGGGAAGGCATCAGTAGGGCAGAGGTTGATGTCAGTCAGTAGAGCAGAGCATGGTGTCTGTCGTTTTTATTTTTACAATTTTTTTTTTATAATTTAGGAGCCCGGTTGAAAGGGGAGCACTTGGGGGAGGGGTTGAGCAGCAGAAAAAGGAGGAACAAGGACAGGAGGGGCAGTGGGGGAGCCGTTTACTGAAGCTGATCCCCTGGATTTTGTTTCTTCAGCAGCTGTATGCTGGTGGAGAGGATGAGGAGGAGATGCTAGCTTTCAGCTGCTCCGGAAGGACAATAAAGGGGATCGTCGGAAGTCAGGTATTTTAAAAATATGAATACCCAGCAAGTGGCTAGGGATTGGGATTTTTCTGCCCCCCACCCTGGTGCCTTAAGGCGGCTGCCTAAGCAGTTGTATGCTCTGCGCCAGCACAAGGCTGCTTAGGCAGCTGCCTTAGGGCGGGGGGGGGCAGATTTTTACGTGTTAAGCTTTGGTGGTTTTTTTTTTAGCCAATAGAGAAAAATATCATCTATTGCATCATTTGTTGCTAGGTTTTTCTGTTTTTTTAGTTTTTCCATCAGCTTTTAGTTTTATTATTATTATTATTATTTTGTTTGGGTAAGGTTAGGATTAGGGGTTAGCATTTTATTATTTATTGTACTTTATTATTTTCTATTTTTTTTGTTAGGGTAATAATAAAAAGTGAATGTAAAATAGACAAATATATTAAAATAATCATAAATACTTGTAATAATAAATTAATAACCCATAACCTTAAACCCTTATTATAACCTTATTATTATGATTATTATAGTATTTTTTGTATATTTATTATTCATTTATTATTTTGTTTGGGTACGGGGTCAGAGCTAAAAGGTTAGGATCAGGGGTTAGTATTTTTTTTTATTTATAGTATTTTACTTATTATTTTCTTTTTGTTTTCTATTTTTTTTGTTAGGGTAAAAATAATAAAAAATGAATGTAAAATACACAAATATATTAAAATCATAAATACTTGTAATAATACCCCATAACCTTAAACCTAAAAAAAGGTAATAAAATAAATAATAATTATTATAGTATTTTTTGTCCGTGTGGTTTTTTTTTGGTTTTTTTTTTAAGGTTAGGGGTTAATTATTTGTCATGAATTTTTATATTCATATGTGTATTTGATTTATTTTACGTTTATTTATATATTACTTTTTTTTCGAGCAGAAAACCGCGCAAAACGCATGTTAAAATGCACGAAAGCATGCAAAAAAAACGTACCAATTGTGTGTTTCTATTCTTTTCTAGGGGAATATGCGTTGAGTACAACCCTCCTTCCTTTTTCTGTTTTTCCCAACTTTACCTAAAGACTTCCAGTCTGGTACCATGCTTGAGAATGTTGTTCTATTCTTTATGACAGATACAAAGGAGATCATCCCAGATAACCTGCAATATGAAACCCTGTGTAGTATACATTGGTAATGAATATGCTCTGTAGACATTTAAAAATGATATATGTATCCCTATAGAATAAAGGCATAAAAAATACTAAAACACACCATGGAATGACCTTGTGATCTGATATATGTTGTAAAAGCTAACTGAAAACCTTAATACAATTATAATAAATACATATTTTATATTTCTATTTCTGCAGCACGTAAACTGAAGAAGTTGGGTAACCTGAAGACTCAGGACGAGTTGGAAGGATCTCTAGGACAGGGAGAAGGAAGAGAGATGACACCAAACATGTCCATTCCACAGCTCGAGGGCTATAGCTGCCAACCAATCTTCCTGAACGTGCTAGAGGCCATAGAGCCTGTCGTGGTATGCTCTGGACATGATAACAACCAGCCTGACAGTTTTGCATTGCTGTTGAGCAGCCTCAATGAGCTGGGAGAGAGGCAGCTAGTGCATGTGGTGAAGTGGGCAAAGGCATTACCAGGTATGCAAAACATAAAATGGAAAAAAAAAAGTGATATGTAACACCAGCTTTCAATTGCTGTAGTTTAACGAGTTAATGTATTTATTAAAACTGTATGTTTTTGCAGCAAACGTAATTAGATGAGTGATGACAGGTGTTTGCTGATACCCTATATTGCCAAAAGTATGTTGAAACCTGAGCATCATACCTCCCATGTGACCTAGGACACGTGTCAAACAGAAGGCCCGTGGGTTGATTCCAGAACACCACACCATTTCAAGTGGCCCCAACACTTCTCCTGCAGCTGTGGTACCCCTCTTTCCTCCGCCCCCACCTTTTCTCAGCAGCAGAGAGGACAGGACTCCTCCGCCAGATCCTGTGCTGCTCTGTGCAGCTGTGGAGAGGCTCATCTCTTTCCTTTTGCCCATCTCAGCAGTAAATAACAGAAAGGGGAACAGAACTTCTACAGATCCTGTGCCTCACTGTGCAGCTGCAGCACCCCCTCCTCTCCACCTACCCTGGCCTCAGCATTTAGTAGATTCTTGCAGCTGACTCCAGCTCTCCTCTGGTCCTCCTCCAGACCCTGCACTTCCCAGCTTCGCCCCAGCTTCTTCCTGGCAGCAGCACAGAGTAAGGAGGTGCACTGTGAGGGGACTCAAGACTTCTGATGGTGGGGGGCTTCTTGATATCTGATGTAATGGGAGTGGAGTGCTCTGGGCATCTAGTCTTACAGATACAATGGCCCTTTGAGGGAAACCATAATGCTGATGTGGCCTGCAAGGAAATTGAGTGTGATACCCGCTGGCCTAAGGTATGGGGGTAACTTCGCAAAAAATTAAGTATTAAAAATTAAGAGTATTGTTAATGCTACAGCATAAAAATACATTAAAGATCAGATTAGATAGATTGTGTTCTTTCAACCTTGTGCCAACAGTTCGGGAAGACCATTTTCTGTTCCAGCATGACTGTGCAGAAAGCCAACTCCATAAAAACATGGTTTCACCAGTTTGTGCAGGACACTCAAGTTCCTCTACAACCAGTCATGAGGAACTCTAGTTCTGACCTACACCCTACTGAACACGGTTGAGGTCATTTGCAATGCCATTTGTGAGCCAGGCCTTCTCCAGTTTGGGAAGACCCTTTTCTGTTCCAGCATGACTGTACCCAGTGCAGAAAGTCAGCTCCATATGGTGTGACCAGTTTGGTGCTAAGGTACTCCAGTGGCCTGCACAAAGGCCTGACCTCAACCCGCAATGTTTGGAATAAGTTGGCGTGCCAGTTGTGAACCAGGTTCTCTCATCCATCATCAGCACCTGACCTCACAAATGTTCTCTTGGCCAACTGGACACAAATTCTCCCACACACACCCTCCAAAATCCTCTTCCCAAAAAAGTAAAGGTTGTTATAGCTACAAAGTGGGACAATTCCATACAAATGACCATGGTTTTAGAATAGGATGTCCAGCAGGCTCATCTTTGGTGTGATGGTCAGGTGTCTACAGACTTTTAGCTATACTGTTACCTTGTATGCATAGAGTTAATATTTTAACAGATTTTGTCTACGTGTCACAATATATATTTGTTCCGTAGGCACCAATTTTAAGACAGACAATCAGGCTCCATCTCACATCATTTATTGTCTATCAGGTTGAGTTCCTCTTTCACAAAATTTACATCTTAAAAAAAAAAAAAAAAAAAAAAAAAAAAAAAAGGAGGGTACGGTTTCACTAGGTCAAGAAGCCAGACTGATGAGAGAGAAATGATGAGTTAAGCCTCATTGTCACCTAATTTCTTGTACATCAGATCAAATTTCACAAATTAGGGAACTAGAAAATTCAGAAGGTGGCAAATGTGTCACTCGAAGATATCAAACTGAAGAAGTGAGACAAACCTCTGCTCATCTAAAAGTCTTTTATATCAGAAAGAGCTTCCCAATAAAGCTGACCTCCAGGCAGATATACAGCAAACCCACAAAGTAAATAAGCCCTATACTGATACATCATTAAAACGGTTTTTAAATGCAAACAGTGTTACCTGGGAAATAGCCTTAGGCAGTCCCTGTACAGTAGAGCTCAGTCTGGGAAAGGAAAAAAAAAGGGGGAAAAAAAAAATGAAAGGGGAAAAAAAAGGGAAGGGGAAAAAAAAGGGAAGGGAAAAAAGGGAAAAAAAAAGAAAGGGGAAAAAAAAAAAGGAATATACTGATAGAAAGAGGGAATAGATAGATAAGCTCAGTCTACTGCTTCTTCAGTGTTAGAAAAATAAAGTCTCCGGCCATGGGCTGTGGCAGAGCTGTGTAAATCTGAGGACCTAATGGACAGAAATATAAGTATCATTTGGCAAGCAAAGCAGCATACACAGTTGTAGTGCACCCCGAAGGAGTCACTGAGTGACTAAACCTTTTGAGACCAGATAGACTTCTGGTATTACCACTTTAACCACTCTGACACACCCCTACTCAATGAGACAACACCAAATGGGAGTGCAAGCTGTAGTTCTATGAATATCAAACAGCTCAAACAAGAACAAAGTAACACAACCAATGAATAGGTGAATTCCATGACAGAGACCTTCTATGCTACAAATGTTTATAGACAAAGCAAAGGGTGACCGAGCCTGGGTTTCACCAGACGTTAAGATGAGATTAAACTGTAACAAGGCCACAAGGGATTCAGTAATGGCAGAAAGAAATATAGTAACAATCCCACTGGAGACTACACCACCATTAGACCCCTGGAGAGACCCAGCTATATTCAAGTCTGCCTGCAGGACTTGACTGTGTACACATTAAACTACCCCCAGTAAAAGAGTAAGGCTTGGACAGTAAAGTCTTTAGGGAAGGGTTAATATGGAAAGAAGAATTTAGTTTTTCCGGCTTAGCTGGGGCCCTTACCGTGGTGCACAATAATGAATTTCAATGGTTTACACTGGCTTCAGGACGACAACTGTAGCAAAGGTGGCTGTAGGAGGTTTAACTCATGGAAAAGCTCATACCAGTAACAAAGCTGCTGTAAGTTCAGGAAGTGGAGAGGGGTTTTCAAAAGTGAAGGGTAATTCTGGATGTTTCTGGATGGCAGTAGCCTTGGGAGTAGACTGCATAGGCTGGGCTATGCCTAGAGAGTAGTAGAGTAGAGCAGTAATGGGCTAGGGTTTCAATGTCTGCTGTACAGTGCAAGGAATGGGTTAGCAACCCTCTCAACAAACTCCTGCGCTTCAGCTGTAAGTCCTGCCGATAGAGGGACCCATCGTGGACTGATGCGGTGGCTGGCAATTCTGGTACAGCTGAGGGTAGATTAGTGATCCCCCTCTGTGTCTCTAGAACAGCAGAGTAGACAAGCAATCTAGCTCTGTGTCTTTGCAGATAGGCCGTGCTGGCAGACAAGTTCTGTTAGACTCAGCACTCTGTCCCTCACACCTATCTTCTTCTATGGTTTGGCGCAAAGTGCCTCAGACCTCGCAGAGTGTGTAAAAATTCTCCTTGCTGGGACTCCTGGGAGCTGTAGTTTTTTCCCCCAAAAAAAAGCAGTCCCACCTAAAGGTGATGGAACTACATGTCCCATGATTCTCTTCTTGGGCACATTTTTCCCCCCTGGCACCCGGTCTGGACCTATCAGAAGAGGGCAATGAAAGTCAATAGGAGCATAGTAGATTGACATGCTGGGTCTTGCTGTATCACATCAGTTTGATGCCGTTCAATGAAACTTTATTTACAGAGGCTTTGTTCCAGAACCTGGCTACACAGTAGAAGGGTTAGATTCTTATTAGGTCTAGTCTGGTACAATGCAAGAGCTTACCTGTATCCCCCGGCTCCGGCGCTCTCATCGTCTGGCTGAAGCTCTAGTCTGTGGACAGAGGCCTGATTTCATCATGTACAATACAGGGACATTAGCCTTGTATTGTACATTGAGGTGGCTGGAATGTGCCCGCAGCTGGTCTCAGCTTAGAAAGGCAGATGCATGGGATTGGTCCAGCAGCACTGGAGGGACCCGGATGGAACGAGGCATAAGGCAAGTATTTCTTCTTATGGGTGTGGTCAAGCATGCAATGTAAACAGTCACATTTCTACCAGTCTGGAGACAGCCAGACTCTAAGAAATTTTCCTGTCAAACCCAGAGACCTTTAGAACCTTGTCCAGAATTGATTTGGTATTGGCCTCCATGGAAGTTCTACCATGGGTACTAGAGCTACATATGCTACACAAACCCTTTCAGTCCACTCCCCTCTAAAGCAAACTTTGTTGTTAGGTCATAAAGCTGTTTTTAAAATCTGGGAGGTTTAGTATATCGGGGGGTAAAATATATATTTTTATTATATGGTTGACTCCTGGCAGGTGAACATTTCCTACCCATGTAAACTTTCTTCCTGGGATGCATTCAAAGCAATTACTAGAGGATCCTTCATAATATTCATTTTTAAGAAAAAAAAAGCTAGAGCAGCACAGCATGCCCTGAAAGCAGGAATTAATTAGGTACAGGAGGCCTATGTGTTGAACTCTTCATTGAACAACGCCTCTTGTAATTTCATGAAGCAGACCTAGTAGCCAAAAAGCTATTTTATCAATCAGCCTTATTATGGAGGGACAAATATGCGGAAATTAGCTTTTCTCTCCTGACTAGCCATTTCTGTACATCCTAGAACACAAGTTGAGGATGTCAAGAGAGTGTTGTTGTCTGACCCAATATTGATCAGTGAGGCCTTTGCAACCCTATGTCCAACTACACTTAGCAGCCACTTTATTAGGTACACCTGTTCAATTGCTCGGTAACACAAATTGTTAATCAGACAATCACATGGTAGAAACTCAATGCATTTAGGCATGTAGACGTGGTGAAGATGACTTGAAGTTCAAACCAAGCATCAGAATAGGGAAGAAAGGGGATTTAAGTGACTTTGAACGTGGCATGGTTGTTGGTGCCAGACAGGCTGCTCTGAGTATTTAAAATACTGTGATCCTCTGGGATTTTCATGCACAAACATCCCTAGGGTTTACAGAGAATGGTCCAAAAATAGAAAATCTCCAGCGAA